CCGGCTCCGTGCCCGCTGTGACCAGAGGCCGGGGGAGGAACACCTAATCCCCCGACACCTGCTCTCCGAACCGGCCTGACCCCCCCGAATAAACAATATTCTGCCACCCCGGAGCCTCAGGGCTATTTTTCTGGGATTTGTAGACAATCCAACCAAAAATAACAACCAATTCTGTTTCGCCCCTCTTTAGAAGTGAAGTCTTTGTGTGGAGGAGCTCTTCAGCCCGGCGGCTCCAGGCAGACTTTGAGCTGCTTTTCGGTGGTCTTGTTCCTTTTTTAAAGCCATAGCCTGTTAGAACATTACAGGATTTAAAAAAATGATTCCCAAAATTAGATGGAAAATTCATGGGGTGACAGCTTCCTACCAGACGACAGCAGGAAAGGGGTTTCAATGCTGCTTTTGTGATAAATAAATAAACAATAAATTAACAAAATTGTAGTGACTTCAATTTGAGAGACAGAAAATGTTGAAAAGCGACGCATAAACAAAGTCCAACAGATTGATTTAAACATTCAATCCTTTGTTTTTTCATTTTGACGGAAAACTTTAGGCTGTAAAAATGTAACAAAAGATTACCTTGATGGTTTTAACCCAATCAAAGAGATGAAACAGTTGATATAGCCTAATAGAATTTGTCTAAGATCACAGCTGTCGGGTGAGAAAAACGGGAAGTAATTCAATTAGATTTCAGTAAGCCACCTTTAACACTGGTAGAGGAAGAAAGCAGCCTGACCTGGAGATGGCCGAATGAAAGGGGGGGGGGTTACCTGTTGGACAAGGAGATGAAACAAAGAAAAATGTACAGCAGCATCCATCAGAGGGCTGATCCAGCTGGAGGTTTGGGGGGAGCTCTGCCCAGTTTGAGGACGCTAGAAATTAAAGATAAAAACTAAGGCTGCCTAATTTGAGAGATTTAAAGTGAGTGAAAGGTGAGAAAAGCCCCAGAAGGAGCGGCGGCCCTGGAGCTGGAGCTGAGCCAGAGCAGAATAAAGCCTCTGATGTAACACCTCTGAGGAAAAGAATGAGGAAATGTCTTCTATTTGTCATTCATGCGCTGTTCTGTTTTTCTTTTGTTTGCTTTTGTGTGCCGTCTGACTGGGGACTGCAAACTGAATTTGCTCCACTTGGGATAAATAAAGTTGTTGAATTGAAGAAGCCGAAGCTTCTTTCTGCTAAAACCTCAAATGGACGCAGAAATAAAACGACGCGGCCGCCAAAACGTAGACAATTTTATTGGGATGGACTATGTACAGGCTTTAAAAACAAACAGTAAAAGCACTATAAAAGCGGATCCCCCCCCCCTCCCCGACGTGGGGAACACAAAGCTGGTCGGGGACGGACTGGAGACGCTTTCCCGACATGAATGAGCTCAGCGGGGAGAAGAAAACCCCACTGGCTCCTTCTGAGAGGAACCAGGTCCCCATTCACAGCAGCCCAGCCCGCTTTGTTCTGCAGGGGGGGGGGGGAGGGGGACAGAGGGGCCCCCCCCCCCCCCCCCCCCCCGGGGCGAGGGGCTCCGGCCAGAGGGGCCCTCAGGCGCAGACGTGCCTCATGTGGAAGTTGACCACGTACTCGGCGTTGGTGCGCTGCACAGAGATGGCGAAGGGCTCGAAGGGGTGGAAGGTGAAGGCCACCAGGCGGCGCACGGCGTGGTTCACCGGCCGGCCCAGAAGCCCCGCCTGGATCTTAAACTTAAGCAGGCCCGAGTCCCGGGCGTAAAACCTGGCAAAGGGAAGTTTTACCAGTGGAGCCACGGCTGGAGTCATTTACTAACAGTTATGCTCATTTTAACATAGAATAGGAATAATGATAATAATAACAACAATAATAACAGGAATAAGATTAAGAACAGGAATAAGAATAGGAGAAGGAATAAGATTAGCTACTGAATGGGAATAAGAATGAAAATAAGAACAGGAAAAAGAATGACAGCAGGAATAAGAACAGGAATAAAAATAGGAATAAGATTAGGAACAGGAATAGGAACATAATAGGAGTAGGAATAAGATTAGCTATTCTTATTCCCATTCTAAGAATGGGAATAAGAATAACAACAAGAACAGGAATAAAAACAATAATAAGAACAACAGCAGGAATAAGAATGGGAATAAAAATGTGAATAAGATTAAGAATAGGAATAAAATATAAGATAAGGATAAGAATAGGAATCAAGATAAAGATACAGATCGAGATAATACAGAGTTTTACTTGGTTTGACTTTAGTACTGGATTTAATACTGGATTTCATGTAACTACTGTAGTACTACTTTACTAACGGTTTTGTTCATTTTATGATAAGATCATATAAACTTAATGAGCCAGTCAGGGCTGGCTGGATGTCAAACAGTTTCTGAGCACATTAGCTACACGTTAAATGGACAGCTCCTGTTTGGCATGATCTTTAGCAGTGAAATTAGCTTTAACTTCTCCGAGTGGCTGCGAAACACTCGAGCACAGAGGACGTGCACGAGTGCGCACGAGAGTGCACGCATCTCAGAGCTCCTCAATCCAGATGAGGATAATCGGAGAAGGACAAAACGACCCAAAAATGTAAAGCAAAGTGGGCATTTTTCCACCAGAGGAGTTCAGTATTTTGCATTTGATTAGTAAAATTCAAATGACTATATGGTGTTTTTTTCTCAGCGTCGGATAAAAAGAAGAAACTGAGAGAAACAACAATAAAAAGGGCAGAAAATCCTTTTAGAGTGGAAATGATTAACCTGCCATCAGCTCTGCGTTCACACAAAACAACTCTATAACACAACTAATTAAGAGGAAATTCACACCTCCTGCTTCTTATTGCATTTTACCTCTTTCCTCTGAATTCTACAGCATGTTCAATTTTGTCCTCAAAGCTCAGAAAATTATGGAAAAATCCACCTAAACCTCTTTTTTGAAGGCAAATTAAGAACAGTACAAATTTTCAAGCTCTACTAAAAAAAAAAGGATAATAAGATTAAATGGGACATTTTAAATAAAGAAGTAAAAAATCTCACCTACTTTGCCTTAAAGGCTCTCAATAGGCAACATTAATTGAAAAATTAATGTAAGCTAATTGGGGTATGAAGTGTTAAACAGAGTTTTTTCTCCCCACTGTCACCACAGATTTTCTTATAGATTCAGTTTGATCTCACAGTTCTTAAAAGAATGAAAACCTTTTGGAATAAGCTCATGTTGACCAACATCTTTATGACGTGTCAGAAATCCAGCGCTGACCTTCCGATAACGCTGCCTCATATGGGAAAACCAGTCGTATCTTTTCTGCTTTTTTTCCTCACTTCTCATCCTAAACGGAGCTTATTGGACCAGAAAAAGGGGAAACGCGGGCCGTTTGGCGCCCGTTCTTCCCGCCCTCCCCCCCCTCCCAGCCCTACCTGATGGGGTGGTCTCCGCAGGTCTTGGGCCGCTCCATGACCGACACCCACTTGTCGTCGTAGCTGAAGAGGGACAGGTCCAGGTAGGGGCTGCTGCTGTAGGACTGGGCGCTGATGGGCAGCTGGCCCAGCAGCCGCCGCACCGCCTCCGTGTGCCCGCCGTACTTAGCGTTCACGATGGTGTCCTTGAATCTGGGGGCCACAGAGCTCGCCGTTAGGACCTGGCTACAACTTCTCCTGCCTTCACGTCCACATTCCCCAGTGAATGCTTCTGGCTGACATGGAACTCTGAAACGACCCTCAGACCTGCTCCCAGTCTGGTGCCCTTTCAGTAACCCCCCCCTCCTAACCCGGGGCATCAATTCCCACCACTCTCAGACCCAATTCCAAACTCTCTTCCAGGATAAAACATCTCCTAGCTGCTCCCCATTCCCCTCCATCCCCACCGGCGAGCTGAACCCGCCAAATTCAATCACAGCAAAGTCTTAATGTCTGTTCACTGCATCCAGATCCCCCCCCACCACACACACACACACCCCCCCCCCCAACCCCCCCCACACACACACACACACACAGTCTCTCCTCTTCCTGCAGGGCATCCCTTCTGATCCACACTGCCTCTAACCTAGTGGTTCTTAACCTTTTTTGAGGGACCGAACCCTCCAGTTTCAGATGCGCATTCGCTGAACCTTCTTTACTGATAAATGAAATAGGATTTTTCCCCCAAATTAAAGACTTGGTGTGTTTTTTTTTTGTTTTTTTACTGGTGCACAAAGGAGCCTTACTTGAACATCACCTTGCTCAAAGAACAAAACCAAAACAGTGCATGAAAATTACCGTACTAGTTTATTAAAAAAAAAAAAAAATTTTTCAGCCCAATAAAAAAAATTCAGACCCCCCCCATTTTTTTGTAATTTTACTATTTTAGTCATCAAAAATAAAGTAGTTTTTTTAAGAATTTAATATTTTTCATAAGTTATTTTTTTCATTTAATCAGTTTTTTGTCGTTGTGAATCCACAAAACACTTTTCTGGGCTAGAATATATTCTTGTATTTCTCATCTCCACGCAGCTTAAACAGGAGTTCCTTTAGTTTAGCCGGTGTCAGACTAGAGTAGCTCCACTTGGCATCAGGCAGGCGGGACGCCGACTCCCGTCCTGTTCCTGACACACGGGAATCCATGCTGTCTGACCACGTTTTTTCTTTGCTCGACATATTTAGTATTTAGGATTAAAATAATAATAAAGAAACCACATGGCACAAGCAGCACCGATTGGCCGAGCAGTGTCACCTGACCCCCAGCAGCCAGTGGCGGGGCGTCGACACCCCTTTACCTGTGTCTTTACCTCACAGCAAAAGCTCTGAACCCCTGAGACCAACCCCCCGGGTTCACAGGTCAGGAGCCTCCCTGACATTTAGCGGGTTCTCTGCTTTCTTTCCCCTTTCCCCCAAAACCCGGCTGACAGCCAGCGGGCTAAAGGCTTCTGCCTGGCGGAGGCCGGGTCCCCGGCGCTCGTACCTCCTCTGGACCTGCCGGGCGTAGTTGTTGGAGGAGGCGGAGCAGGGGAACTGGACGGCCTGGCTGTGCAGCGTGGCGTTCCTGAACAGGTCGCAGAAGTTCTCGAACAGCTCCAGCAGCTGGTCGGAGGTGTTCTCGAAGACGGCCAGGACCTCGGTGGACACCATGTTGTACACCACGAAGAAGGACGGCTGCGGGGAAGCAAAGGGGTCGTAAGAGTCTGGAGGATCCTGAAAGGCTGGACAATTTAACTGGACTTCTTCTTGAGTCTGTGGAGGAAAAACACCAGCCATCATGTACTTAATGTTCACTGTCCCACACAGAAACAGGAGCAAACTGTTCAGATATCACTTGATGTTTCCCCATTTACAGTAGAACCTCTACATATGAATTGATTTCGATCCAGGGCCTACTTCGTATGTTAAAATATTCGCATGTTGGTTCAAATATTCCCATAAAAAAAGTCCAAACCAAGAACAGATAAAGCAGATGCAGAGATAATACATTCAAAATCAAAATATGCATTGATAAAATAAACCAAAACCAAGTTCAGGGCTTATTCAAATGTTGATAAAAGGCGTTTTTGAATGAAGGTGCTGAGTTTAAAGAACGAATAGACAGAGGACATGACACTCTAAAGTGCTCCCTATTCACTGCTCACATCTCATCCTAAAGGAGTTCAGGCCCTGCTGACCAGATTCTGGGGCCAGTAAATGGGGATGAAATGTTCTGAACAATCAGAGCAGTTCTGCTCGTCCTGCTGGTCGCTCTCATTTCATGAAGTGCCATTTCTCCTTTTAATACATTTATATTCCTAACTTCCTCTAAGACACTTATATATAAAAAATTTAAAAAGAGGTTTCACCTCTTGTCTGTTTCCTCCTGGAAGAGTGAAAATCTGCACAGACAGGCTGCAGAAAAGCCCGATGAGGGCGACCTCTCAGAGAAAAAGTCAGAATTTGGCCTAAAAGCATGAAGGATGCATCAGATCTTTGTTTCTGCGGCATGAGCGAGCGGCAGGACTGAGCAGAATCCGCCTCTCAGACGTGTCCTTGGAGACCTGACGGGGGAATTTCTTTCATACAGTCGGAGCAACAAAAGACGGGAACAAAGAGAGGAATTCAGGCCGAGACCTGTGTGTGTCTGTGCGTGTGCGTGTGTGTGTGTGTGTGTGTGTGTGTGTGTGTGAGTTCCCACCTGCGAGGGGTCGGTGACTCTCAGCGTGACCACGTCCTCGCTGGTGTATTTAATGAAGAGGTGATGCTCATCCAGCAGCTGCATCTTCCACATCCTCAGCTTTCTCAGCTGGTCGAAGAACTGGAAAAACCTGGGCAGCGAGTGAGCACAGCAACAGGAAAACGGCTGTAAAGACGCAGGGACTGGACTCTAAGGCTGTTCATTAAGTGGACAAACCGCCTAAAAGGGATTCGTCTGATTCGTTAAGTAGAAAAACTAGTTGGAGAGGGAGTAAGTTGGTAAACGGCTGTTTCCTGAGGCCCTCCTGATCCACAGGTGGAGCCGATTCCACTTAGGATCATTTTCCAGCCACAAATAAGAAACTCAGGGCCAGAGACAGAAGCTGGTCTGGAAACACTGTGAATTACCGCCATTACAAACTGTTAACGGAGCAGTTTTTTAAAACACGGAGCAGTTTCTAAAATAAAGACTTTGAGCTTCATGAGCTGCCTGCATGTGTTCCAGTAAACTGATGAATCGGCCTCATTTTGGCCTCTTTTGGTCGCCAGAGATGAGATTTACCTTAACAAATACGTGGAATATGCCACTAAGTGACTAAACCACCAGTTTGCATGCAGCACAATGCAAATAAATGCCCGATATTTAAAGTTCCTTAGAGTGTTGACAAATGGAAAACATGTAAAACATACGGGATCCCTGATTTTCAGTGTGATAAAGACTCACATTATGTCCAGTCTGATTCAGCCATTAAACAACGTTTCTTTGTTCGTCAAATAGTGCTATTGCTAATTGCTAATACATCAAACAGACGCAAAAAAGGAGGAATACGAGCAGAAGAGGAGGCCGTGGGGGGGTACCTCCTCTTGGCCGTGGCGCTGCCGTCCTGCTCGGCCCTCCTCCACAGGTAGACCAGCAGCCTGTGCTTGAGGGAGTTGATGGTCTTGTCGGTGTAGAGGCGGGCGAAGCCGGGCTGGCTCTCCGCCTGGGCCTCCGCGTACACGGCCGACAGGGTCAGCAGGTCGTCCTCGTAGCAGAAGCGGCCGATCGTCCGCACGTCCAGAAACGTCCCGTCGGGAGTCACCTGGAACACAAACGGAGAGGAAGGAGGCCCATCAGCCCTGGGGTCTTCGTCCTGAGGGGGAGGGGGCGGAGTCTCCGGCCCACCTGGAAGACGTGGATGGTCTGCTGCTGCACCGACAGCACGGCCAGGATGTTCCTGTACAGGTACAGGCCCTGGTTGTGCGACAGGATGATCTTGTCGCACTTGAAGGACCTGGTGTCGCACAGCCGGCCCGTGTGGAGGTCGATGATGTGCAGCGAGTAGTCCTCCAGCGGGGAGCGGGGGTTCGGCGTCACCGACTCGTTGTTGCGATACACCTGGAGGGACGGCACATCCGCTTTAAACCCAGACTGGGCCACAATTTAATTGTTCCAGGACCTACTTCTTATTTTAAAATATTTGTATGTTGGTTCAAATATTCCCATCAGAATACACTGTAATTGGTATAATTTGCTCCACAGCCCAAAAACCTACAATAACTCCTTAATAAATATCGACGATAATTACACATAGCAGTAAACAAATGCATTATAGAAGAGAAATTTAAAAAGATTAAAGAAATAATCTATAAAAAGGTAGAGACTGAGATACAGGACGTACCCTAACTTAATCTAACTTTCACTACCTGAACTTTAAACTAATTTAGCTTATTTATTTTTAGTCAATTTTTATATTTGATTTATTTTCTATTACTTCGACGTCATATGTTGGAAAATTAGTTTTGAGTCGAATATTTGATTGAATTTCACTTCTGATGTTGGAAAATTAGTCTGTTTAGGCAATCGTAGGTAGAGGTTCTGCTGTATTTACCATTATACAGGACACAGAAAAATAACCCAGACTGGGGGACAAAAAACAAAATAAAGAAGCAGTCTGTTAAGACTGTCGTTCAAAACTTTTAAGCTTTCAGTTGTAGTCGAGCGCTCAGTCATTCCACTGAGGTTTCTGACTTTGAACTTGAATGGGGGCTCCATTTTTACCTCGAAGAAGTATGGCGGCGGCTCCTCTGGGACGTACACGGCCGAGCCCACGATCACGTAGCGGCAGTCGTCTGTGAAGAGGCTGCACTCCCGGTTGAGGTGCTCCCCATTCGAGGCCACGTTGGTGACATGAAGCAAAGAGAAGAAGCGGTCGAACAGGCGGCCCCGGATGTTGATGGAGCGCTGGTCGTTGGCCGTTAGAAGAGTCTCCCCCTCCTGGCCTCTCAGCAGGTCCTGAGCCGCCTGGCAGCCTTGGTATTCGTAAATCTGTGGAGCAGATTTGGAGGAGAAGGATGTTTGTTTTTAACTGTTTTGCCTAAGGTAAACCCGAGCCATCTTTAGGAACCACGAGAGATAAACAGATTACAGTTTGTCATGTTTAAAAGGGGAAGAGGGTCTGTTTCTTCTCATCTCACCTCCAGAGACGTTTGGTCCGACGAGAAGGCGATGAAGCAGCGTCCGTCCGGTGAGAACTTCCTGAGGAAACAAGGAGGCTTCTCCACATTGACCACAGTGAAGTTGGGGAACAGGTTCTGGTGGAAGCAGCGCACTCGGTACCAGTGGGCTCCAGGCCGGCCCGAACAGATCCGTCGCCTCTCCAGACGATGGACCACGTTCTGGTTCTGAATGCGCCTGGGCTTCAGGGTCGGGGTGTCCTTATCCATCCTCAGAGGGGGGGGGGGGGGGTCGGTCAGAGCACAGACACCAGACCCATCGCAGTCCCGCTCCGATCTGTGACACCGCAGAAAGGTCAACATGGGTTTTAGAGGGGGTTCAGTCACACAAGCAGGTTCTATAGCTAGTTAGAACTCTTTTAGCCAAAGTTCTCCATTTGTTTGAAGGTCTTTCAAAGTTTTTCTTTGGATATTTTCCGCTTTTTCCAGCATTTTCTGTCCAGTCTTTGCTGCTGAATAATGAGTTATTTTGATAAAGACACTAATCACAGACCAATATAATAATAAAAAGTTATCTACACCCAAAGATGTGTATTAAATATGAATACAGAACACAGAAAATCAGCAGAGCAGCAGCTTAAAGTGGATCTTTGGGCTCTTTGTCAGCAGCAGCCTGTCACAGAGACACATCGTTTGTTCCATTTCTGTAGCTGATGGGAAAAAGCCAAACAAAACCCAGTCTGACAGACAGGAAACAGGCATTATCCATTTCCTTGTTTGTAAAGTTGTATTAATATTTAGTTTGATTGTTACTGTTTTTGCAGGTAACCAAAGATTTAAAATGGATGATTTAAGTTAGCTTTAAAGTTGTGAAACCACTCGTATCATCCAACGAAATCCACGTGAAGGAGTATGCCTGTATTTTAAGACAGTAGAGAGCAATGGGAATGCTTGGGAAGTTTAAATAGACACTGGACACATCAGATTACAAACATCTGCACACAGCAGCCCATTTTTCGGATTCATTTAGTCAGATATCAGAAACAAACCAACTCCTGGTCGATAACTGAACCACTACTTCTACAAAAAGCTTTTAACATGATTGCCTCGCTTTAAATATGACCAAGGAAGGCGTACTCACTGGTTTCCTTTATCAAAATGTTCCTGCCCAATGGTCAGCAGGTAGCTCCTCACAGATGTGAAGTTTGGCCCGACAGGTAAATACAGTTAGCAAGTTTGCCACCGCTCCTCAGCTTTTGCCTCCTTTCAGGCGATCACAACCAGCGTGAATCATTCCGTAAAGTCCAAAACGTGTTTAAAAATATATACAATTTACATTCATGTCTCTCCAACTACCCGGCATGCTAACGCTTTTCTGACCCAGGAGCCGCTGTGTTTGTTTCCAAAGAGACGGAGTGGAACCGTAGAAGAAGAAGAAGAGGCCGAGAAAGACATCTCCGCTCAGAGCACTCTGTTTAAACAGCGCCATTCTTCTCGTGCTGGTCATAAGTGGTACTGCAGGATGTGGCGGTCTGAGGCAGCTGAAGGTCTCAAATCTAAATCACTCACTGTAAAAACAGCCTCTTTCATTATTGTACACAGTTCATGTCAAACTATTTATTTTACCCACACACTGGTATTCATTTACTCACTTGCTCACTCTACAGTGACATGGATGGCTTCTTTGTGCTTATTAATAATGACTATTTTCTTTTTTCAGGTGATGTTGTTTTTGGTTTGGTATTATCTGCATTTATGTATCCAAAGATACCGTGTCTATCCACAGTGTATTAATTCTACAGACAAAGCTGGTTGTTATTTGGTTTTTGGCTCTTAGCGTCAGGCTTTCCCATTTCCTCTCTCCTCACTCCACACTCCCCTTTTCAAAAATTGACAAAAAGGATAAAATCAGACTGCAATGAAGAGAACATGCAGGCTTGGTGGGCTGTGGGTTTGCCATTGAGTGCAGAAAGCAACAATTAAATGAACAAATTACAGACAGTTTGGACATGTTTCTGCTTAAAAGTAATAGTGAAGATGCAATATTTGACAGTCACCCATTAAAACCAGTGGCTTCTACTAATATGTTGGGTCTTATGATTTTATTTGGATCATGGAAATTAAAAATGTTTGTCAAAATGCTTTTTGCTACCAGAAAAATACTAAACCTAGTGTGTTAGAAGTAAAGTAGACACGAGGATGTTGGTGTTTTTCAGAGAATACAGTAGGTCAACTGCAGTGGACTTCATTTTCTGAAAGCCTTATTGTGCTTCAAACACAGGCCGAACGTGCTCCTGCTGATCTCACTGAAGAGCCAATTTACTGATCGGTAGGTGGGTTGGCTGCAGGTGAGGGGCGTAAATGCCCCAGAAAACTCCCAAAATGATTGTAATTGCTGGGTCTAAAATGGCAGGAATCAAGTGGCAGAGCTCCGCACTGTACGTACAGTGGATTAGCTGGTTTGTTTGTTTGGCCTATTTTGTTTAATTGATTTGTTTACGGCAGACCCACAGCATATGTGAACCCGACGTGACCCGAGTTTTGCTCCCTTTAATGGCGGATAATTAAATTGTGATTATCCTCTTTCTATGAAACATGTTCTCACAGGCTGAGAACAGAATTATGAAAAGAAAAGGAGAAATGCTCAGGGTACATTGGTCTTAGAAGACTGCTAATGGTTCTTTGTGCAATTATCTCTGACCAAAGAGCTCCGATTAAATGTCGTAATTTTCCATAAAAGCACATGTTCGGAGCATAAAAGGCTGCGTTGGAAAGAAAAATGAAGAAATGAATGGAGGGAAGAATGCGAAATTATCCACTTTAAAATCTAATGGCATTTTCCTTTTCAGCCACGACTGATTAAACCTTTACCTCGTGACGTGAATGCGTGTCTAATGCATGAGTGCATAGGTTTTTGAGCCGCGCTGACGTGCGCGTTTTAAGCCTTTACCTCCAAATTGCGCCTGTGTGCGCACGAGTGTCTGTGCGCACGGCGGAAACCCACACAGGCAGGAGCAATTCAGAGCAGGGACCTGCACTATCCTCGGGTTGTTCTGGTTATTTTCCCTCTAATAAAGCGGCCGCCGCGCGGCGAGGGGCGCGCGGGCCTCAGCTTTTAGCCGCAGCCCGTGAAGTGCACAGTTGCGTTTGAGTGTTTCCGTGCGCTTTTTAGCCCGTCTGCCAGACACGGCGCTTATCTAAGATCGTTTTTCTTCCCATCCTTCGGGGCTTTTTACGGCCCAAACTACGTCTTCCTGGCCTCTTCACACCCTTTTCTCAGGTGGACTATACGCCCCCCCCCCCCACACCTAAATGCATCCTCTCCAAAACTTTCAATTATGCCCTTTCCGAGGGGAGGGTTATTAGAGAGAAACAGTCAAATCCTTCTTGGAAGTTTGACGAAAAAGGGCAGCTTGTTCCGAAACAGCGAATAATGGCGGCGAACAGAAAGCAGCTGCTGTGATTATCTTCATTAGAACGGAGGATTTCTCCAAAGAGCGTTTGCATTAAAGGACATCTGGATGGAGGGTATGGAGCAAATTCACCGGCTTGCTACAACTTCTATAAAGCACTTAGAAAAGGTTATTCAAAGCTCGGGGAGCATGTAGAAATACATTGTTTTACCATTTCCCATCTTTTCATCTCAGACAGTTGCATTTGGCATTTAGCAAAAGCTTTTAACTTTTCGATCCAGCGTAATTTCAGAGCACAATAGGACATTTTATGACTGCAACTTTCCAATCCTTATGCACCTGAACTTTTCACGTCTTTTCTGACAGTGGACGGTTTCTGCTTTTCGTTTTTTTTTCCGGGACAGATTACAGTGATCGCGGGTGCATTAGGGCCTCCGGCCGGGGGCCCGGAGTCTCCTACCGGCCTAAAGGGGGGAAGAGGACCGGAGTGGGGTCCCCACCCCCCAAAACACGAGAATCCACTCCAGACGTGAAGACTCACATCTGATCAAAGAGTCATTTGGGTCTCATTTTAAGCCATTTTACATATGTCTGAGATTCTGAATCTGACTGTTTTTTTATTTCTCATTATGAGAAATAACAGAAAACTGACCCTTTTTGGGACATTTCCTGTCCTAGGGAAAGGCTAAAGCCAAGATCTTTCTCCTTTTTGCTCCTTTTGTGACTTGATTGTTGTTGCTACCTCGTTTTCCTCTCTCAGCAGGTCTCTGGTCTGGTGTCCGGAGGCTGGTTGGACCCCCTTTCCTGTCCTCTAAACCCCCTGCAGGTCCACAAAGATGGCCGCCTTTCCTCCAATAGAGGTTTTTCTCCTTTTCACAGGGAGTTTGTTCTTTGTGTTCGAATTGGCTTATATTTACTAACTCCAGAGTTTTTCTTTATCCCTGAAATTCACGTAAATTTCTAACGGTTTGAGAATAAATGCAAGAAACAGTTAATGTTCTCCAGTAAAAAAGTTAGTCGACAACACGTCTGGCATCAAAAGAGACACAAAGTCCAGCTGAGGCTGCAGAATTGCACAAATGATAAGGGGGTGATTGTCCTAAGTATTTTTAAAAAGCATTCATAATTGCAGCAATTCAAATGTTGGTGACGAATAACAAAATTATTCTTGTTTGACGGTAAATTTAGGTGACATAAAACAGCATGTTTGAATAAGAATTTAAGAGAATTATATTTAGCTGGACAAAAATGTATTAAGCTTCACAGAGCAGAAATCATGTCTATTTAATAGATGGACCCCCCAAAATGTTAGCTTTGCACTATTTCTTGTACTAGTTGTATGTCGACTTGTGTCAGATGTCAGAATTGGGGTCTTTTTAATTGGCTCTGCATGAATCGGACTCATTATGCTATAGACAATGGATGGATGAAAAGATTGGAGTTTGAGTGCATTACAGTGAATTGGACCATAATTGGTTTGAACTGGACTGTATTTTTAAGTGCCTGCATATGACGTTTGCTCTGATTTGGCGCTTTGCATATAAATGGGAATTAGATATATTTTCTTAATACAAGAAATCTTAACAAGCGTAATGATTGAACTAAAGGAGGAGGTTTCACCAGATTACAGTCCGACTCTTCAGAGGTAATTTTTTCTCCTTTAATTAAGACAATTATTAATTACTGCACTGCAGATCTCATAACCATGGAAACTATGTCACCCCAGCAAAGGGAACACAGTCAGAGGATCCAAAAGCAGGTTAGGGTTAGGAATCAAACAGGAAATGATGCTCCCATGATGCACCTCTCCTCCCCCTGCTGCTACAGGCCCAGACTACGGTAAATACAAATATACTTTATTTACACAGACAGATGAAAAATAAATCAGATCACAATGTTTTAGTAAAGATAGAAAGAATGAAACTTAACATGCCTTAAGTTTGGGACTGTACTTAAACGTTTTAAAGCTTTCAAAGTGAAGGTGTTGCAGGCTGAATAAAGATGGATTTCTGTGGATTAAAAACAACCAATAGAGACAAAAATATGACAAAGAATCTCAGGCTGAATGGCTGTTTCCTCTGGAGACACAGCAATCTGCTTCGTGGCTCGTTTGTGAGAGCGACACAATCAGGTAAATGACAGGAAAGCATCTGATAATCTGGCCTTTGTTTGTGGGCTGAGCGCGTTCACAGAGGAGGGGAAACCCGACCCGGCTTAAGCTTGTGCACTTCCTGCTCACGCTGCTCACTGCGCAGCCAGTTAGAGGCCAGAAAATACCTTTTTTTAAGGATGGCCGCCTCTTCACGCCCAACATAGATGAGTTGAATCCAATTTTATTCAATTAAATGTATTTTACTGATCCAACAAGGGGAAATTCTTTTGGTGCATCAGCAAAAAAACAATCAATTAGCGTAAGAAAGAACAAAAATAATAACAATGATTAATGAGAATAATAAGCCTTCATAAAAGTAGTTAAATCTGTTTCCAAAATGGCTCTATGGTCCTCTCTGGTTCCCTTTGGTCCTCTCTGGTTTCCTCCGCAGGGTGGCTGGGCTCTCCCTCCAAAACCTAAACCAGATTTTTAGAAGCAGGAAAACCTCCAAAACCTGCAGGACAGCAGCCCAGAGACGCCAAACAGGTCCAAAGAGGCCCAGAGAGGCCTGGAGCTGCCCACCGGACACTGGACTCTAGTCCTAAAGTCGACCACCGTCTCCTTTGTCCAGCTCACATTCAGGAGCAGGTGTTCCTGGATGTGGGGCCCTTCCCTCACAGAGCAGGTGAATTTTCACTCTGCTGATTAGAAAGAAACAAACATCTGTGCGTGTTTTTATGAAGCACAATCCATCCCACTTACCAACGCTCGCCTTCTGTCACTCGGTTTGGATGGAAAATAAACTCAGCTTTGAGTTTTGTGTAATTGGACAAGAAGGAACCCTCCTGCTCAGCGTCCCACAGTTTTAGATTTTAGTCACAAACCCGAACAGGAAGCAGCCATTTTCTCT